TTCAATACAGGGCAGGCAAAGGCACGAAGGAACCAACATCTAGGTTTGAACAAGAAAATAAGGCTCAACAGGAAGATAAAAAGTAAGATCATTAAAATCTTGCTGTTTGGTTTTTGTTTGCTTGTTTTGTTTCTAAATATTTAAATGAATCACGCCTTCAAGGAGCTTACAGTCTTAGAGGAATACAATGTAAGCCACAGTATGTCACCTATTTATAATAAAGAACACTAATTATTAGTGAAAGTATAGACAAAATATGTTTGTTAAGTGTTTATTTATTTGAGAAAGAGAGACAGACAGACAGACACACACACAGAGAGAGAGAGAGAGAGAGAGAGAGAGGAGAGGGCAGAGAGAAAGGGAGAGAGAATCTGAAGCAGGTGATGTGGGGCTTGAACCCATGGACAATTAGATCATGACCTGAATCTAAACCAAGAGTCTGGTGATCAACTGACTGAGCCATCCAGGTACTGACTGAGCCATCCAGGTACCCCAAGGCAAAACATTTTATTGTGGAAGAGATGGCAAAATTCTCATGCATCACAAGGGATATGTGATAATTCAGGCCGAATTTCTTGGAATGGAAAGGAGGAACAGCATAAAGAAAGATATGGTGGTGGGCAAATGTGTGTGCTTAAGAGAATGGAGAATATCACAACCAAAAAATAAGTAGTTTTCAAAGATATTTTTGAATATACTGATATTTAGAAATATTAATAATATATTTAATTACAAAATTTAGAAAATGATTTTAGGGAGGTCTGCATTAAAGCATAATCATTTTCTTTTTTTAAAAAAAATTAATGTTTTATTTATTTATTTTTGAGAGAGACAGAGTGCACTAGCGAAGGAGGGGCAGAAAAAGAGAGGGAGACAGAGAACCTGAAGCAGGCTCCAGTTGTGGCTCCAACTCACAAACCATGAGATCATGGCCTGAACTGAAGTCTCGTACTGGTGCTTGATCAACGGAGCCACCCAGGGACCCCCAAGTTATTTATTTATTTATTTATTTATTTATTTATTTATTTATTTATTTATTTTTGAGAGAGAGAACGCGAGCAAGAGAAGGGCAGAGAGAGAGGGAGACACAGAACCCAAGCAGGCTCCAAGCCCTGAGCTGTCAGTACAGAGCCTGGGATGGGGATTGACTCAGAGACTGAGAGATCAAGACCTGAGCTAAAGTCAAACGCTTAACCTACTGAGCCACCCAGTCGACCCAGTTTTAGTCACTTTAGAAAACTCATTTTGAAATACTCTTTGATTTAATTGTATGCAATCATCAACCATTTACTGAGCAGATACTGTACTGGATCCGGTTCTTTACCTGGAGATACAAGAGTGAATAGGCAGCCAAATACTTGTCTCTTTCAATGAAATATATATTCTAATATGGAAGAAAGACTATATCTCTTTCTATCTGTGCATCTATTATTTATTTGCATGCTCATATATCTATAAATGTGTATGTATGTGTATCCACAAGCAAATAAGCAATGGAAATTCAAATATTATTAAGTATCATAAAAAATAAAACCCAGAGGGGGTTGAAGCTTGTTGGAAAGTAAAGACAGAATGCATAAATGACTCCAGAAACCTGACTGATACAGAGAAACAAAGCTTGCAAAGACCTGAGGAAAGAGGACTGAGGCAGAGTTCTGAGCCCAGAATGAGTTTTTCTTGCTAAAGAGTGGAAAAACAGTCCTGATGGACAAACGCTCAGTAAACTTGGGGAAGGAATGATGACAGGTCAGGAAGGTCACAATTGAGATAGAAGCCAGTAGATCATTGCCTGGATTTTAGAATTGACTCTAAGGGCAGCTGGGAATTCACTGACTGGGGTGTTCAGAAGTGGCAGTGCTATGGTCTGACTTCTCTTTGTACAAGATCATTCTGATTGTAAAGCTGGAAGCAGAGGAGCAGTATTGAAAAGCCTACTGTTACAGTATAGGTGAGACATGAAAGAGCCTTGTAATAGGTGCAGTGGAAGACATGATAAGAATTGATCAGATTCTCAAATTGGATATGGATTTGGAAGATGTTTCCATTAAGATCTGCTGATGGATTGAATGTGAGATCAGAGAGAAAGACTGGAGTAATAATACTTTTTGTAGTTTGGTCTGAACACCTCAGTAAAAATATACTTAAATCCATTAAGAATTTTTTCCTAACATTTCCAAAAGATAATTTGTGGGGGGGCAGGAGAATGCCCTGACTTACTGCCCACTTCAGCTACCTTCTTCCATACATGGACACTGCCTTGAACTGCTTTCCCCTCTGTAACTATAATTCTAATTCTCATTTCCAGACTACAAAATTGACCCCTCCACCACTTTCATTCTACTGGTTCTGCTCTGTGAATACATTGAGATATCTAGTACATGGTCATGCCTTCTACTCTTAGATCAGCAATTTGTTCCTGGCTTTTTTCCTGGCTGTCTCTTTCCTTGATACCTCATGGAGCTTCTCTTGACTTAGAGCTTTAATTCCTTCAATTCTACTTTCAGCCACAGATCCTTGGTAAACCTCAATCTAGAATATATTTATGTTGACTTCCATTCTTCCCTTCTGTGGGAACAGTTGAACACTGATGGATAAAATCCTATAAAAGTTTTAATTAGTGGCTTTTTAAATTTGTGGTTTCCCATCTTCATTGCACAAATATTATTCAGTAGACTTTATATGTGTTCCTTGTCAGATCCCTCTCTCATTTCTATTCCCTTCAGGAAAATTTCTTAACAGTGTTTCCTAGTCTCTTAGAAGATGATACTGTCTCTACTATTCGGAAATTTGGCCTTTCTAAATACAACACTTAATCTATTACTCTGGTACCTATATACAATCTTATAGTCACAAAATTCCCCACGGCATTCATTCTATCCTAAGGGAGAAGATAGGCACTTCTCTCATCTCTCACATCTTATTAACCATTCTTAAGGTTTAGACAAATGTTAATTTACAAACCTCATGAGTACTCTCTCAGCTCTCAAACTTGTCTTTTTGATTAACTATATCTTTCACCACCAGACTAACCTCAATAAAACATGGTTACATCCATGTTCAAAAACTTCCAACATTTTCTTGAAGTCTTTTGGTACATTTCTCAATTTCTTCATCTGGTTACTTAACACTCTCTGTAACCTTACTTAATGATAATTATCTAATGCTATTTCCTCCACTCTTACTCCAATATATAAACTCCCAATTCATAGATACTTTCTTTTTTTCCATAACATTTTGTATTTTTATTGTTGTTATTTTAACAGCTATACTTGGTCAATTTCAAAAATTTGGGAAATGAATTAAAATCAAGAAGTCAGCATTTAGAGCCTTGTAACAGTTAAGAATGTTACAAATAGGTGAAGATTATCAACAATTGCTAAATTATGGAAAAGCCCAAATGCCTATCGACTGAATGGATGAATTCATAAATGATGAATGAATAAAAAAGAACTTGTGTGTGTGTATATACATGTTGTGTTGTGTGTGTGTGTGTGTATATGCATACATACATACAACGGAATATTACTAGCCTTCAAAAAGAATGAAATCTTGCCATCTGCGAAGATATGGATGGAGTATTATAATATATAATATAATAATATAATATAATATATAATAAATACTAGAGAGTGTTATGCTAAGCTAAATAAGTCAATCAGAGAAAGACAAATACCATATGATTTCACCCATATGTGGAATTTAAAAAACAAAACAAATGGGGGCACCTGGGTGGCTTAGTCGGTTGAGCATCCGACTTTCGATTAGGTCATGATCTCGCGGTTGGTGGGTTCGAGCACAGCGTCGGGCTCTGTGCTGACTGACAGCTCAGAGCCTGGAGCCTGTTTCAGTCTGTGACTCCCTCTCTCTCTGACCCTCCCCTGCTCACGCTGTCTCTCTCTCTCTCTCCTAGAAATAAATTTAAAAACAACAACAACAACAAAAAGAAACAAAACAAATGAACATAATGGTGGGGGAGGGCAGTGAAGAGTGGCAAATCAAGAAACAGGCTCTTAACTATAGAAAAGAAACTGATGATTACCAGATGGGAGGTGGACGGGGGGGTGGGTGAGTTAGGTGATAGGGATTAAAGAGGGCATTTGGGATGAGCACCCGGTGTTGTATGTAAGTGATGAATCACTGAATTCTATACTTGAAGCTAATATTATACTGTATGTTAACTAACAGGAATTTAAATAAACACTCTGGGGGAAACCTCAGCTATGTAAGAGGCATAGCACTAACTGCTATGGATAAAATAATGAATGGGGTAGGCCAATGCTTTACTATTATTAAGCTCACAGACCACTTGAAGAAACAAGTGGTTATATTTCAACAATTAAATACTTGGTACCCAGGTGCAGAGGACTAGGGAACATGCTGGAAGGAAAAATAACCCAAAGTGAGGGGTTATGGTGGGGTGTCAAGGGGTTTGAAGATTAAATGCCAATGAAATTATTGTCTACAGCATGAGAAGAATGTATTAAATAAAAGAGAAATGGCAGTGAGGAAACACCAAGTGCTTTCCAATGTGTTTAAGAGAGTATGGAAATTAAAACCTAGTTTGGCTGAAATGCAGAGTTAAAGGTGAGAGATGAAGTTGAACAAATAATAATGTTATTGTATGGCATGTTAAGAAGTTTGGATGGTAAGACAAAACATAGGGAGGCTTTGAGAATGAAAAAATAATAGGGTCAGATTTGCCTTTTTATATCAGTTAATTTTGCTGATATAAAAAGGTAGAAAAAGGAAGAAAAAGGTTCCAGGGGCTTAAAAATGGGGGCAAGAAGTTGAATTAAGTGGAATTCTTATTAAAGGCAATGGTAGCATAAATAAGGGTAGAGACAATGGGGCTCTAAAATACTCTACCTTGTGGATACATAAAATTTAATTTAACCACCCTTCTTGTTTTGTGCATTTGTATTCTGTCTGCTGAATTTCTAAGAAGAGTATAAAGTATATAATATTTCTCACATGTATTTCTCTTCATTGTTTTCCCACAGAATATCTCATAACACTGTATTTACATGGCCCACACTGCCAGAAATGCTGACTGGCAGAGTACTGTTTAGCAATGGATAAATACTCAGGTATATACCTACAATAATGCAAGTATTTGCTTTATAGCCCATAGATATTACGCATCTATTGCTAAGTTCCCCTACAAAGATGACATATTATGTTTTTTGAAAATACAACATTGAAGGTAATATTACAACTGAATATTCTTAAATATAATTTCTTCATTCAGTGATTTGTATGTTATATTTGTAATTTTTTGTGTTGATACCATCTCTGTACTGGTTCTGCTAGAGGGTATTATATTCTGTTCTCTTGACAGAAATTCTAAATGATAGTTTGGTAGCATCATTCAAATTTTAAAAAGTTGATATTAATCCTCATTTGACATGGTACCAAAAACTCAGCAGGCCAGTGTTTAGGGGAAAAAAAACCCACTTCAGATAGTGTCGTATTTTTCATGGGTAGAGGTTGTTTCTTCCTTCTGGCTTCTTGTTAGGGAAGCAGCTGAAGGATTTAGGGAGAAAACTTCAACTCATTTCAAGCAGTCTTTGGAAGTTGCTTTCTCACTTTAATTCTCTGATGATAAATGTGGTATAATAATAAATGACAGCAAGATGGAAAGAAAATATATAAATACATAGAATAAACTACTCCAGACAATCTGATCAATGCATGTGTCTGTGGCTAAGAAATCATTTCTCCCTTGATGCAAATTTAGTTCATTCTATCCCACTGAAAAGTAATCTGACATCATTAGTCTTTCTTTACCTGGTAAAACTGACATAGCATACGCAAGAGAATTCAATTTCCTTCTTTAGAAAGAACTGTAATACAGAGATCAAATTGAACTGTCAATGAGAATGAATTCTTTATGCAAATACTTCACATTTGATGAATACTGTATAAAAACATTTTAAATATACTTTCGAAAATCTTATAAAATATATCCCTTTTTTAAAAAGTAGTGGTATTTCATTTTTGCTTTCAATAGTTAAAATAGAATACAACAAAGATAAAAAATAATTATTTCACTTACAAATGAATATGAAAGATAGACTTAAATATATAATTACTGGGCAATTACTAGTTTGGGTATAGTATAAGAAGTTCATTATTTTCTGTTAGAATTTCAATTTTTAAAGAAGTAATAACATCACTACCCAAATCAGCATGTAATGTCAATAGTCGATGTGTGCAGGAATGATCTCAAGAAGTCACTTTAAGAGGAACTGAAATTCTAAAGAAAAATTTAGACTTCGAAAGTTTTAATTATTGTCCCTTCTCTCTTTTCTGAAAGTAAGCAGAGAATTTACTAATGTACTTTTTTTTGTAACTTAAGCTGTATGAAAAATAAGTGATAACACTACGAATGAGTGGAGAAAATGTATGTCATAAATTCTCCACTGAGTTCAAAATATTCTATGTACCAAGTGCTGTGATAATGCCACATATTGATTTGATTAAATTGGCTCCCATATGTAATAATCTCTAAATACATATGAAGCTCCTTTTATAGAAATCCCTACTGCTCATCTATATTCAACAAAGCAGCCTGGCATTTTTCTATCAGTTATGACAGTTAAATATTCATATTTCAATACAAATAAAATTGCTGTATATTGTTAATTGTTACAGGTAAACAGGCAAAACAATAGAAGGGCACAGTATTAGGAAATGAATGGTTGTGCTGAGAATCAATAAATGATCTTGTTCAAGGTAATAATGATAATAGAATAGGTGGGTTTATGTCAGAGGATAGAAAACCTTGGATTGCAGTCAGACTTTTACTACATGTGATGATAGATCAGGTTTGTTTGTTTTATCAAGGAGTTTCAACATCGAAACGGTGTAGGAGTATGAATATTTGTATTCAGCTCATGGAGAAAGTCAACACAGAAAAAGAAAGGGGAAACGCAGAAGAATCAGTTAGAGTTTGTTGCACTAGTTATAACAACAGAAATCGAGTACACAGAGATGCTGAATGAGATGTGCTAGGCATGCTGACAGTGGAATTGACAGATTGGATATGATGCCAGCAGGCGAAGAGGAGTGTCAGAGAAATTCAGCCTGGATAAGACGGATAAGAGTGTTTGCTTTTTCTGGTTCTGGATTTCTGTGAGAAGTGATTTGTCTTCTTATGCCCAGATCGCGATCTCCCCAAAATCCCAAGACCACCAAGGAGTCCGAGTCACTTTTGCAAAAGCAAAGTGTGTTTATTCGGGCTTAAGCTTGGGCTCCCAGACCTCACCAATGCAGTGGATCCTTGCTGAGAGCCTCGAGCAAAGGCAGAGTAGGGTTTTTATGGGGTTTGTGACGGGGGAGCTACAGAAGTTGTGGCAGAGGAACAGTGATCCAATAATAATTATTCAACATCATTGACAGCGGGTTTGACCATACACATTGTCTAGAGTATTTGTTACTTTTGGCGGGATCCAACTACAACGTTTAGAGTACCTTTAAATTCAACCAATCACAGAGCAAGCCTGGGGTCTTGTTTGGCGACTAACGGGTTAACTTTAACATTAGGTAGCAGGGTCCTATCTATAGTTTCTATCTTTAGGCCTCTCCCTTAGTAATGTGGAGGGTGGTCGCTGGCCTTTCCTGATTGGGTGCTGCAAGGGTGGTTTCTCCTGCCTTGGGCAATGTGTAACTGCCTGATAGTTTCGGGGAAGCTGAAACTTAGGCCTTCTAGTTTAGAGGGGAAACTTAAAGCCTGTCATGGAGTCAGTTTGGTTTAGACTTGTGTCCTTACAGCCTCGCTTTCTCATTCTTCCCTGCTCCACTCTTGAGAAGTAGAGTTCTTTATCTTGTTTGTAAATTTACAGAGTATAATTTGGCCAGCTTGTCACTGCTCCACTCATTTTCTCCTGAGATCTGCACAGCTGCCAGCGGGGAGCCTACTTAGCCGCTCTGGCAGGAGCTTAGATTCTGCCGGAGAAGGATGTCAGCACTGCTGGGACTGGTCTGGCCACTTCCGTGGTCAGGATTTTCAGGACCATTAGGCTCACACATTAAAAGCCATGCCTTTCAACCTTAATTTTATCAGTGGCAAAAAGAAAAGCCTCTGTTGTTTCTTGCTAAAATTTGTTATAACTTCAGTGGGGAATAGAAATCTTATTTAGGTGGACCCTCGCTGCCCCCTGAAGACTCCAGGAGCAGTGCCATTTTTTTTCCTGTAGGTTAGCTTGATATTGGACAAGGTATTTCATATTTATCTTTTAGAAATAGACTACTTCAAGTACATCCTAAAATGCCTTCCAATCCAATGAGTTACATGAAATCCTGAGGGCACTATGGGAGTCACCAAAGGATGTTATGACGGGGAATAACATATGTATTTCAGATTCATTCTGACAGTAATATGTAGTTGGCAGGCAAGGTTCCGTTATTCACTAGCTTTGGAGTCATGTGGAACAGACTTGAAATCCCATCCCTGACTCTTACTGGTTATGTGGCTAGAGAAAAGTCATCTGAAGCCATGTGAAGTTCAGTTTATCCATCACGATAATGGACTTATCTCACAAGTCCTCATGAGGATTAAGTGACATAAGTGTAGCACTTATTCCAGAGCTAAGTATATAGATTAAAGACAGTTATTAATAATGAATGGGACAAACCAAGCTGAATGTAGGAGGAAAGGTACAGAGCTTGTGCAGTAAACCAGAGTGAAATTGTTTAAAATATTAGCAAGAGTGAATACTAAGTTCAATTTTGGTTATAATATGTTTGTAACATTGTTGAAATATCTCAGAATAGATGTCCAGCAGTAAAACATATAACAGGTGGAAGAATGTTACAGGAACCATAGATATATAGAGATACATAGTAATAAGAGTAAAACCTATGGATTTTTGCAAGTGGGCCAAAGAATTGAACATAACATGAGATGAGAATCAAAATGTTTCCCTAGAAAAAAACTGGAAAGTGAGAAAGAAGTCAATCAAAAATGGGTCTCTACAGCATTTTGGCACTTAGTACATATTACCTAAACAATGAATGTATTTTTCAGTGTAGCCTTAACATTAGTTGCAGTGTAATGAAATTATATTTTATACTGACAGAATGTAGTGATCAAATTAAAATGTAAAACATTTTTAGTTACCTATGCATTTTTCTTCCTTCATATTAAATTGCTTTCAATGACTTTCTAATATCAAGTGATTTACACTATGCTATGCAGGACTAGTACAAGATCAACCCATTTTGCTGTCTATTGCAGTTGGGCAAGTAAAGGAAGATAAAAAAGCTGAAAAATGGTGATTTTCACACTTATTAATTTGTGTTATATACCATTAAATGTCATTTTTTTACTCTATGCTAAGCTCTAAAGATAGAAGAAAGGAGACCCTGAAAGTAAGCATCAAGTGGGATTTACACTTGGCTAATAAGATGTCTTCTTCCTCTCTTATTTGCCTCTGGAAATACTGAATTTATTGTTAATTCAAGAAGAGAGAGAAAAAAATAGAATGAGGTATTCCATGCTTTAGTTAAAATCCCAACCCTTTGCTTTATCATTTGAGGGTACTTATAAAGTGATTTTGGTTTCATAAACATACATTTTATATTTATATACATATTCATTGTGAATTTTACAATACTATTATATTTTCATACTTATTTGCTGTCTTGAAATTGTATTTCAATTATCATCTATTTCTCTATTTCAATTATCTCTATTTCCCATAAATAGATTATATTATCTTTCAAAATTAATACCCTAAGTAATACAAAGTATTAATATATTTAATTTACCAATGTCCCAAATCATTAATTGCTAATTGACTTAATGAGTACTTTCTATGCAACAGACACATGGATATTTGAACAAAAGCATAGAAAAACAATTTGAAAATAAAGAAATATAAATATTTTAACTATGTGTGGATATTGTGTTTCACATTAGAACTAACTGAATACATTAAAAATTTATATATACATTATTTGTACGTAAGTATTTGGCTATCATATAAACAATGAAACATTGTATTAATGTTTGACAGGGAGTGAAATTAATGGGATGTTAAACTCTTTCCTGAGGAGAAGGTCTCAGTTGGTTTTTGGAACCAA